TCAATACCATGGGGTTGTTGGACAGATTGAATCAGTTAATGCAGGGCAAGCACTTAGCATGACATGTATTCACTATCATTTCCTGGAGTAAGAACTGTGAGTGGGTGTGAGAATGTGTGAAAGCCATTCTCTGCAATCTCAGTTAGGAAACCAATCCAGAATTTAAAGTTCAGGGCCTAAATGGGTGGTTATCTTCTCCCAGTTCCATCCTATCCCACCTTTGTTCTTCCTCCTGCCCACAGGAGCTGTTGGTCCTTGATTGGGCTGGAAGACCTGGTGGACCCTAAGTGATCCTTAAGAGGAAGATAGATGACAGGAAATGTTTTCGAAAACCCTAGAGGGACACAGAGGTTGAGAGGCAGGCAGTCCTTCAGGGGTCTTCTGAATGGGACAAGGAGGACGTTGGTTTTCATAAGCCAATTCTGGTCAATTTCCCCCATGGACAGATGAGGGAACAGGCCCAGGAATGTCCAAGGTTTCACACTTTCCATCCGTCAAGTCCTGTTGATTGTGTTGTATTTATGTCTTTCAAAGAGAGATGGAGTTTAGGAAAAGAAAGAAGGATCAACAGCATCTGATACCACTGGGAGCTTAAGTAAAGGGTTCTTTTACTTCATAGCATTTATCCCAATTTGTAATTCAGTATAATTTGTGTGGCTGTTTGGTATCTCTTTCTCCTATTGGAGAGCTAGCTTCATAAGGGCAAGGATTTTGATTCTTATATTTAGTGCTTGCCACATGCTGTGAGCACAGCAGGCATACAGGTTAACCAACATACAGTAGCATCGAAGTCAGGCACCTACCTCATCCCGTACATAGAGTATATGTCCATGGACCTGTCACTCTCCTCAACACCACCCCAAGCATGAGGCCCAAAAGCATTAGCTACTCACCTCCTCCAGCCACCAAAACTTAAAGGCCAGGTATGGTGGCTCCCATCTAAAATCCCAGAAATTTAGGGGACAGCAGCAGGAGGTCACTTGAGGCCAGGAATTTGAGACCAGCCTGGGCAACATAGCTAGACCCCATCTGTACTACAAATTAGCTGGGCATGGTCGCAAGCCTGTAGTACTAGCTACTAAGGACGCTGAGGTAGGAGGATCACTTGAACCCAGGAGCTGGAAGCTACAGTGAGCTATAATCACAGCACTGAACTCCAGCCTGAGCAACACAGTGAGACCCTGTTTCAAAACAATTTTAAAAATAAATAAATAAAAACAAAACTTAGATACCACCTGGTCACCTCAACCTGCAAAATCAAGTTTTCCCCTACTGAGAAGAATGGGGACTTGAGAGCTGAGTTCCAGAGAGATAATCTTCCTTTTTTTGTTTATGTTTTTTCTGTTTTTTTTGTTTACATCCTCAAGATCATGACCTGTGAAATTTGAATCTGATACACAAATAATTCCAGAGCAATGTTGCTTCCCCCTACCACCAGCAATTCATTTGGCCACTGGAAGTCAGGACAAGCTTCCCAGAAGAGAGGTACCACTTGGGCTACCAATATAAAAGGACGAAAATATCAGAGTGACGGTGTTTCTTGCATCACTGAGTCCCTGGACAGCCTGTCCACTGATGCTGATATCTGAGCCTAGTGCTTCTCTGAATGTTGAGATTTAACTTTGATCCAATGAAACTAGACCAAGAAAGAAAAAAAGTCTTTCATTGCTGACAAGGACATTATATTTCTCATAGTTTTATGATAATTTTTCCTTAGCTGTACTATAATTACCTGCTTATTTGTCTCTTCTCCACGTGCTTAGGGTCAAAGTTGACCAAGACCAAGAATAATGTCTGGGAGCACAGTACTGAGAGCACAGCTTTAAAAACATGATAAATGCTTTAATACAGGAAATGAGTAGGGGAGAGGCATGTGGTTGTTTGGTGTTCTTCAAATACATAGTATCTTCCTTGACACATTCAGTGCAGCTCTCAGTAGGCAAGCCCCTAAATGTTAGAATATGTTATCATCTGTGGAATTAAGTGGCCGAACATGTCTTCAATTATTTTCCTTTGCAGAACACCACCAATTGCATTAGTTAGGACACAGTGCTGGATGCATTTGAGTTCCAAGCAACGATTAGTCTATCACCGTTGGTATAGATTCCAACCAGTCAGACAACCTACTGAAGTTTGTAAGGCAGGTAAACCTTTATCTTAGAATAAAAATCATGTGCTTTAGAGGAAAGAAGAAAACATATTCGTTTCCACAAGAGTTTTGTTTCTTAAAAAAAAAATGAGAAGAAAGGCTTTGGGTTTAGGTGAGCAAATGAAGTTGTTGACAGTCATTAGATGACACTGGAATCTTTACTTGTCTGAGTGTGTTCTGTGCACCTCTCAGTGTGGGAACATAGAGAGGGAGATCCTCCAGCAATGCCACTGATATGGTCAGAAACTGCATCTTTCTTTCTCCCTGCTGAGATGAGATGGAGTCCTTTGTTCTAGAAGACCACAGGGGTGCTGCTGGGAGTAACCCTTGAGACAGGAACACAAATCTCAACCAATTTGTGGTTGCAGCCTTGAGTTTCACTATTTCCCATGGTGATGCTTAGCAGGGAATGGCAGGTGCACCAGAGCAGCAGAGGACCTTCTATCTCCCTTCCTGTTAGCTTTTTATAATGTTTTATTGTGATCAGTAGCAGCTGGGAAGCTACTTGCAATCACTGAGCCTCAGTTTCTACATCTGTAAACAGGGGATAGTAGCATGGCCCTATGTCATGTGCTCAGTGAAGCCACTGAAAGGAGATAGATATGTATCAGAATTCCCTGGGCTTTTATCCTGCTTCTCCTGGGGATTGTCACCCACCTTCCCATGTCTGTCCTTTGTTGGTTTGACACTTGCTGTCACTTCTTTTCTTAGGTACCTCTCTGTAGGGCTCCGTTATTCTAGGGATTCCAGAGTTATGGCACATGCATACCTCCATCCAAACATGTTTATGTGTCTCCTGCTTCACTAGGCTGTCCCCAAGGAATATGTGGCTCCCACAACACACCTGGCACAACACTGCACGTGACATTACCCACTTGGCCTTGAATCTGACATGGAATCTGGCATGATGTTCACCCACTCATCCCAGGTCCTGAGCAGCCCTGGAGGCGTAGGGGCCAGAGGGATGGGAAAAGGTGCCTTTCTAGGGTATCAGTTTCTGCAGGACGGCTAAGTGTGAGAAAGAATAAAGAGAGAAGGAAGCACACAAGCACAGCTTAAACATCATCTATTTCTACTGAGTTTTAAGAACTCTGAGATTTTGTTTGTTATGTAATCCATTCATCAGGCCAAGCAGACACAGAACTTGGGTCTGAGTGATGATAATGAGCTGATATGATTTTCACACCCTCATCACTGAGATCTCTCCCATCAAGAATGGGTCAGGGGGCTCACAGGTGGCAGCAACTGCCATTACAGGCCTCATCTCTAGTAGCTCCTGGGGCCTGCTCTCCTCCCATTAGAAAATCCTCCACTTGTCAAAAAGGAAGCCATTTTCTTTGAATTGCAATTCCACTCCCAAGAGGCTGGGACCATTTATTGGAGTCCCTGATGCTGTGTGACCTGCAGTGACCACTGCCCCATCTTTGCTGGCTGAGGTGGTTGGGGTCCACTTGGTCATCTGGGCACCTGTTCTCTTCTCTCTTTTCTCTCCTACTGTTTCCAGACATGTAGCATATCCAGAGAGTAGGGACCACTCTTTGGTAAAGAACCTGTCTGATTGCTGTCTATGGCAGGACTTTTGGAAGCTTCACAGGAAGCAGCACAAATTGATACTATTCCACGAAGCCGTCAGCTCCATCTCATCCATGCCCTGTGTCTTTTTTAGGGGTCCTCTTGCCAACAGAATCACAGTGGACCTGCCTGAAAGTGCAGTGACAGCAGCTGAGGCACAGCCAAGAGCTCTGGCTGTATTAATGACCTAAGAAGATGGAGTAGTCACCACAAAGTCACAGGAATCACATGCAGGGAACCAGCAAATTTCGGCCAAGTCAACTCCACCAGCTTACTGGTAACCAACTGTGGGTACAGCAACCTGATAGGGACCGGAGCCATGACAGTGAATAAGACCAGACTATGCCCTTGAGGAGCTCACCTCTGCTAAGGGAAACAGGCATGGAAACACACAATGGTGGTAAAGAGGAAAGAGGACGATAGGACTGCATGAAGGGGATGGAAAGTAGCCAGGAGAGGAAACGGTTAAATGTGTGTGAGGAAGTTGGTGAGGAAAGACTCTAAGAGAAGGCTCTGTCTGGCTGGGTTTGGAAGGATGTGTATGACTCTTCTAGGAGGCACAGGCACACACCAGGCATAGATAAAAATCTGTAGGCATGGCTTGTTGGGATGAATTTCAAGTATTCTGGAATGAGGACAGCCATGGAGACAAGGGCCGGAGAGAGGAGATTTAATAGATTTCATGCCAATGGCTCCACTTGAGTTTCCGATAAGAACCCAGAACCCTTGGACTCCCCAGTAACATTGATTGAGTTGTTTTTGATTCCACATAGAACATGAACTCAAAGCAGGTCAATGAGGGGTGTGTGTGATTCTTTGCCAACTGCCCGGTGGAGAAGCCTCTTCCAACTGCAGGCAGAGCACAGGTGGCCCTGCTACTGGCTGCCACTCCAGCCCTGCCTCCTTCTCCAGCATATAAACAATCCAGCAGCCTCAGTGAATCACTGCTGTGCAGTGCAGGAAAGCTCCACGCACACAGCCCAGCAAACAGCAGCACACAGCTGAAAGGAAGACTCGGAGGAGAGAGATAAGGAAGGAAAGTAGTGATGGATCTCATCCCAGACTTGGCCGTGGAAACCTGGCTTCTCCTGGCTGTCAGCCTGATACTCCTCTATCTGTGAGTAACTGTCCAGGCTCCTCTTCTCTGTTTCCCTGGACTTGGGCTGCTAATCAGGCCTCTCTTTCCCTTATGTGTTTTGAAGATCAAAAAGGATTTTCAGGCCGGGCGTGGTGGCTCACACTTGTCATCCCAGCCCTTTGGGAGGCCGAGGCAGGTGGACTGCCTGAGGTCAGAAGTTCAAGACCAGCCTGGCTAACATGGTGAAACCCCATCTCTACTAAAATTACAAAAATCACCTGGGCTTGGTGGTGCATACCTGTAGTTCCAGCTACTTGGGAGGGTGAGGCAGGAGAATCGCTTGAACCCCGGAGGCAGAAGTTGCAGTGAACTGAGATCCCACCACTGCACTCCAGCCAGGGTAACAGAGTGAGACTCCATCTCAAAAAAGAAAAAAAAAAGATTTTCAAGGAGAAGTAGCTTAAGTTTTGGACGCTACAAACATATACAGGTTACGATGGATCTTTTGCAGATCTATAAAGGAATAAATAAGCCTCTCCCCCATCCATCTCTAGTGTCAAGAAGGGTTCAGGGACAGCATTGATACAGGATAATCTAATTGACAATGGTTTGGACCCAGCTTACTAAACCAGAATTTGGATTTTACATTTTTCCCTTTAACTTGCAGGAGAAGAGGATGAATCTTCTCACCGGTGGGATCCTGACATGCTAGGGCAGGTGGAGAGAAGAGTCACTCCCTACTGTGTAGTGGAGGCTTCCTGCCTGTCACATTTTACTAACTCAATTTCACAGTTATTAAAAGTAAGGAAACATGGTGATATGAAAATAGAAAATACAAACTTCGTTTTAATTCTTTCACAGAAAGTTTAGCAATTTGGTGAGTTGGGGTAACATAGTTTCCATCTACTGGCATTTTAACATGAATTGACATGGCTTAAATTCATCCTTTTTAAAGCCAGATTTTTTTGGAGATAGACTATTTCCAACATGTTCCTTCTGGGTGATAAAAGAGGGCTATTAGTTCAGTATTTGTGACAATAAATATGTATAAAATAACCTCACCTTTCCAGAATAATGTCAGGAATATGAGTCTAATGCACAAATGTATATCTCTATGACAAGATTGCATGTGTCTTTTTAAAAATACCTTCTCAAGAGTTTATTTCAATACCCCCATTTCAAATAAATCTGCTTAGCAGGTTATCCTTAACTCTCAGGACAAGGAAGTAAACAAGACTGTGAGTCTGTGATGATAGCAAAAGCATCCAGGTAGGATCAAGATGAAGTGAGAAAATATTCCTCACCCCTCAGGTAGAACTCCAAATAGATATTCATGGTTCCTGTCCCCCTAGTGGAGGTCACTTGAAGGGCAAACATTTTGGCATCTCATCTGCTTCAAGCTTGGACACAGGGGCACCATCAGTGTCATCTGTGTGTGGTTGGCCATGTTGTGGGGCTGTCACTTCAGATCTGGCAGTCAGGCAGATAGTACCTGAGCCTTACACGATGCCGGTACAGCCCAGTATTCAGAAGCTATAGTGTAGACCATGCCCTTCTTAGGCCTATACAATTATGTGCAATAGATGACTGGCTTTTCTGTTAGCCTCTTCATTGAAAACTAAAGCAGCATTACTCTACCAAACAGAGGGAAGCTAGAAAGAAACGAAACAGTTTGCCCAGCCCAGCTTCTGCCTTGACATGGTATCATGTGAGTCTAGACACTTGCCTAGATCTTTCCTGGGGGCCAATGCTGCCGACACATTAACTCAATAGTTTGTCCTGGCCTGAGAGATCATGTAACTTGTAGAAAGTTTAGAAACAGAAATTAGTGTCATTGATTTGACTTGGCTGTGACAACAAAGGAAGGAACTGGAGTGGGAGAACCCAAGGTCACCCTGGTTTTGGTAGATGGTGCACACACTTCCACTAACTGTTCTGAGGCAAGGATCCAAATGCACTATTGGGCCTGGCTATGCTGTCTCTTCTGGGTTCTCCAAACATGAGCCTCCATGCCATTTTTCAGTTGTATTTTGCCACATATTATCAGAGTCACTGGATTTGTACAGAACATTTGGAACCTATACTGCCTTAAGGACAACCCTTTTAAAAAAGAGAAAACAAGGTCCTAATTCAACTGTCTGGAACATTTTGTGGTTACTTATGTGGAATACTGCATCTTTTTCTATCAACAGGAAGGTACGTGGACATTAGAAGGTGCCTTTCAGCTGAAAGCATATATGAGACATATGGATCCTTTTATATACACCGTATTTTTCAGCCACATTTTCCCAATTTGCCTCTCTGGGGCCAAGCTTGTGGGACTAGCAGAGTCATGGTTGAATTGATGGCTGGTGACCTCTTCCATCAGCCTTTCTTCTTCCTCCAGTCTTCCACCTCTCAGTAACATCAGACTGGGAAGGTCTTCACATATCCAGAACCCCCAGTTTGGGGAGTCCACACAAGACCCATCAAAGATGAGTTGCAAGCAGGCCTGCCTTAGGAAACAGCAGCCTTAATGCGTTTTCCAACAGAGATAGTTCATGTGCAGAGGCAATAAACTGCTTTGTAATTGATCACCTTGAAAAAAATGAGCATGTCTGATGTTTTGGTCTTTTCTTCCATTGCTATAAGAAATATCACAGGGTGGATAATTTATAAAGAAAAGAGATGTATTTGGCTCATGGTTCTGCAGGCTGTACAGGAAGCATAGTGACTTCTGCCTCTAGGGAGGCCTCAGGAAATTTACAATCATGGCAAAAGGTGAAAGAGAAGCAGGCAGATCTTACATGACTGGAGCAGAAGCAAGAGAGGGTGGGGAGGAGGTGCCGCACACTTTTAAACCACCAGATCTCATAAAAACTCATTGTCACAAGGACAACACCCAAGGAGGATAGTGTGAAACCATGAGAAACTGCTCCTAGGATCCAATCACCTCCTATCAGGCCCCACATCCAGCATTGGGGATTACATTTCAACATGAGATTTGAGTAGGGGCACAGATTAAGACCATATCACTGACACTGCGCTTATCAGGTGAATATCACCAGCTGGAAGGCAAGATTCCACAAGAGGAGGAATGTCCTGGTTCTTAGTTGTGATTCTTCTGCACACTGTCATTCAGGGAAATATGAGTCAATCATCCTCCCCAGTAGCTCAAATCAACCAGATCATCTGACCACAGAGACTTAAGTGTAGCTGAAAGGTGCTCGCATTTCTACGAGGCCAATGGAAGCCTGGAGCACAGTTGTCAATCTGTAGAAATAAGGACTCCGTGACTCCTCCAACACCTCTCTGTGAATGACGGCTTAAGAAGGCCCAGTTCCTAAAACAGGGTCAGAGCTTAGAGGGAAGGGAAAGCATAAAAGCCTCTGAGCAAATTCTAAAGACAGGGTCACCATAGGCTCTCAGTGACCCCCTGTGACCGAGTGGATGTAGTGATGCAAAATCTCATCATCACTGCAGGAAAAAAAAAAAAAATTCACCCTTTCTACCTAGAATGAGAATCCCAAAATCAGGGAAGAGTTCACTTACTAAAAAGACATAAGGGACTGAAGTGCCCTGGAAGAATTCCTGCCTGAACCTCTCAGGATCATTCACATTTGAGAACATTTATCAAGTATTCATTCCAGGAATGGGACCATGAAGACTTCTGCTGCTTTGAGCTAATCATTGTAACTTTTTGGTGTCTCATGGTGGAGGTGCCAAAGGACCTTATGAACAAACATAATCATTGTCGTCAGAGTTACTGTTATCTTTTATTGCCTTAATGTTACCTCCCTCTCTTGAGCATTCCAGTTCCTCAGTCAGTGACTCACGAGTCCCTATATCTATAAAGTCACAATCCCTGTGACCTGATTTCTGTTTCACTTTGTAGATATGGAACCCACTCACATGGACTTTTTAAGAAGCTTGGAATTCCAGGGCCCACACCTCTGCCTTTTTTTGGAAATGTTTTGTCTTTCCGTAAGGTGAGTGTTTTTGAGCATTGTCTTTTGCTTTTTATGATTGCAAAGAGCAACTTAGTTCCATCAGTAAAAATGCTTCTCAGGAGGAAGGTCTGAGGTTTTATACTTTCAGAAACAGTGTGTAGGCATCACCCAGAGCATGGCAAAGTTTACCCTGGGGCTCTCTTGCTAACTCTCAGGAACCTCAAGTTTGCTGCAGTTGAACAGCCCCAAATCTCAGGTAGATCAGCAACTTGATGTGCAGACATTGTGAGCACCATAAAGAGCATTTCCTTTCTGCTCGATGTAGGTTCCCAGGAAGGTACAGTCATACTTAGTATTAAAAGTAGGAACAGAAGCCCCTTATTGTGGCTTGTTATCTGTGGACATGAGAGTAAAATTTCCTCTCTGTAGCAAAATCTCATGAATAGCCTTTTTTCCCTTCCTCCTGCACAGTTTTGAAACTCAGTTTATTATTATTAGGGAAACCAAGTATTTACCATTGGGTCATTTGTACTTTGTTGAAGCCTCTCCAAAAAATGCTAAATTTCCTGAGGATATTTCCACGGCTCTACCACAGCTCTTACTCCCCATGACATCTTTTGCCACTTTGAGATACAGAACAAAGGTGTTCCGCTTTACTTCTTTTCTTTTGAAGGTTGCATCTTGTGGGTGAGTCTGAGCAGGGAGTGGATGTAACTGAGATGAGATAGTGGTTGTCTATTAACCTCAGATATTTAAGCACAATATGAATTTGTGGGTTTATTTTTTACACAAAGTCAGAATCACATGCAAAATCACTATAAAGGGGATGATTTGACAAAATTATTAAATATTTAATTTCACTAAATAGAATGTTATATGTGCCACACGGACTGTGAACTTTGGCTGAGCCTTTGTGCCTAACCTTATCTGATGCTCTGTTCAGGGCCTGGTCCCTGGATGGAAAATTATGAGCTCATCTCCACAGGGCCAGCAACAGCAGTCAGCTCTCTGGCTTAGACAATCTTTCCTGCATACCTGAGGCTTGTTTCTCAGATTCTAGTTCTCCCAAGTGAGGGCTCTGTTGTCTAATTTTTGCCCAGGAATTTCATCTGTTTTCCCTCTGCAAAAGCAATAATTTCCCTACTTTCACACGCATCCTTGTGAGGAGGCCAGCAAACAGGCTTTGTGTGAGCAATAAAGGTTTTTAATCACTTGGGTGCAGACCAACTGAGCCTGAAAAAGGAGTCAGCGAGGGGAGATAGGGGTGGGGCAGTTTTATAGGACTGGCATAGCAGTGGAAAGTTAAGACAGGAGCTGGCTGTTTCATTTCTTTTGTAGTTTTCAGTTGTCTCAAGCCATCTGGATGTACACGTGCAGGCTTGGGCCCAGAGGCCTGACATTCCTGTCTTCTTATTTTAAGAAAAATAAAACAAAATAGAGGTGAAGTGTTGGGGCAGCAAAAATTCTTGGGGGGTGGTACAGAGAGATAATGGGCGATGTTTCTCAGGGTTGGTTCAAGCGGGATTAGGGGATGTGTGGACACCTTAAAGAAAATTTTATAATGAGTTGCAAGGAATAGGAATTTAGGCTGTGGAGAGATCTTGGGGCAGACGATGGTACCATGGACTTGTTAAAAGTAAAATTTGTCATATAGAATAATTGGTGATGGTCTCAATACGTTTTTGTATGAATTGAGAAACCAAATGCAAGACACAAGGCCTAAATAGAGAAGGAGAAAAACAGGTACCAGGGGACTAAGAATAGGGAGGAGCCAAGATGCCCAGTTAGAAAGTGTCTACATGGGTCCAGAGTAATTATTTGCCTGGGTGGTGAGATTTTGGGCTTTATCTTTAAGATTTTTTTATATTGTTATATACCAGGCCAGATTGGTTTAGATAAAAATAACATTCTTCATTTAAAAATATACAGAGTCCTCCTTTTTCAGCAGTGAGTAGGTCAAGGCCTCAGCGACTTTGGAGGATGACTACAGCTAAGGAGTCAACCTGGGCCTGAAGGACTGATAAAGTTTGTGATATATCTGTAATGCTAGTAGAAAAATCATTAGAAAGGCTACAGAAAGTTGTGACAGAAGTTGAAACGCCTAGTTATACCTGGGGAGTCCGCCTTGTATTGCCAATGGGGATCCTCTTGGGGAACTGCCCTTGTGCCTTCTTGAAGGTCTGGCTCATGACACCAGTGGGTGTCAGTGTGAGATTGGGCTAGGGTATAAACTGTTTCCCGCTCATCTCAGGAGAGGGTAGAAGTCAGGAGGACATTTAAGTCCCTCCAGGTTAAATTGTAGGACTGAGTTAAATATTGGAATTCCTGTATATATTTAGTGGGGTCTGATGAGAAAGAGCCTAAAAGGTGACTGATGGGAGAGGTCCAATAGAGAAAAAGGCACCTGACTATGCCTTCAGCTCCAGCCACCTCTTTAAGAGGAAATTGTTGGGCAGGTGGGGAAGGGCTAGTCTCAGAATGAAACTGTTAGCTGGATCGGGTGTGAGGAGGGGAGGTGACAGAAGGATTATACGGTGGAGGAGCAGAGGCTGAGGAAGAATTGGGACTTGGCCTGTTGAGGAGCAGGCTGGTGGGGAGGGGAGAGGTCAGATGGGTTCATAGAAAAGGAGGATTCAAAGGACTCAGAGCTTGGGGTGGAGACTGAAGGAAGAGACAGGAGAGAAAGAAGAAAGATTTGGAATGAGTCACATTGGGAGCAGAGATTATGGAGAGACCGATGTGTAAAAGAATGCCTGGATGTCAGGCACCTCAGACCATTTGCCCATTTTTCAACAAAAATCATCCAGGTCTTGTAAGATGGAGAAATCAAGTGTCATTTTCTGGTTATTTGGAACCATTGTCAAGTTTGTATTGGGGCCAAGCAGTATTGCAGAAGAAAATAAGGCATTTAGGTTTTAGGTCAGGTGTTAGTCAAAGGGGTTTTAGGTTTTGAAGAACAAAGGCTAAGGAAGAAGGGGGAATGGAGGGTGGAAGCTTGCCCATAGTGAAGGAGGCAACCCCAGAGAAAAGAGAAGGTAGAGACACGGAGATGAGGGGATGGTACTTGCCACCCAGGGGAGGTGGTACTTGCCACCCAGGGAACGTGGTACTTGCCATCCAGAGGAGGTGGTACTTGCCACCAAGGTGAACGATCAAGGCAGGCATCCGGACAGTGATCAGATACGTCTGAAATGTGGGTGTATCACCAGGCAGGCATCTCTACAGTGATTTAGACACCAAGGGAAGACTGTTCCTGAGTTCGTGACCAGCACCAGAGTTTTGAGTTCATGGATAAAATGCATCTCCTCTGTCTGTACCAGAAAGGGAAAGAAACTGAAATTAAGGAAGGGAGAGATTGAAGGGGGGAGGGATAGCAAGAGAGGTTGGAGAAGAGAATAAAAAGAGGCTGCTTACCCGATTTAAAATTGGTGAGATGTCCTTGGACTGGCTGTTCTGAGGATCCAAGGTCATAGGTGGATCTCCTCATGGAGTGAGGGCGAGGACAGGGAACTGGTCTCCCGAAGGAGTCCCCCGTCCTGGGTCTTTGGCACCAAATGTCATGCACATCCGTGTGAAGAGACCACCAAAAAGTCTTTGTGTGAGCAATAAAGGTTTTCAATCACCTGGGTGAAGGCCAAATGAATCTGAAAAAGGAGTCAGCAAAAAGAGACAGGGGTAGGGCAGTTTTATAGGACTGGGGTAAGCAGTGGAAAGTTACAGTTAAAAGAGGTTATCTATTGTCAGCAGAGGAGGGGGTCACAAGGTGCATGGTGGGGAGATCATAAGACTTACTGTCCAGAAGATTGTCACGAGGTTGATCGATTGATCAACTGGGGCAGGGCAGGAACAAGTCATAATGGAATGTTATAAGGTTGGTCAATCAGTTAAGACAGGAGCTGGCTGTTTCACTTCATTTGTAGTTTTTGGTTGCCTCAGGCCATCTGGATGTATACATACAGACTTGGGCTCAGAGACCTGAAACCCACCATCTTTCCCATGTCAACTCTTTAGTAGATGAACCCCCAAGATCCACATTCGAGGGACTTTCTTTTCCATAGTTAAAACTTCACCCCTGAAATATAGAAACAGGAAAGTTTTCCAGTGCAAACTCCAAGCAAGTGTCATAATTTGCTGTGTCCGATGTGTAGAGGGGACATTTTTTCAGAACGTCCATGTTAAGCTGGAACACTGGAAAGCAAGTCCTCTTTGTCATTTTGTCACTCACTCATTTTCTCACTCAACAAACATGCCTCACACTTATCTAAATCTGCTAGTCTAAAAGAGGTCCCTCATGTCTGTAACTTTCTAATTCTGCCAGAATCCTAAAGTGAGCTCATGAAATAAATGAAAAGGATGAAGAACAAAGAGATAAAAGAGTGTATGTTCCCTTCTGATGCTCTCCCTTTCCCTTAACCTCAGTTTCTCCACATGCCCCTGGAGGTGATCATTCAGGGAAAGCAAAGAGACATCAGAAAGACAAGGAGTTACTTAGTATTTATACACAAGGATCAGTCATTCAGTATCCACAACACTTAAAGAAAATTCAAGAGTGATTTTAAATTTCCCATGTCAAATACCTCCTCTGTTTTCTCTCCTTTCCCTTATGATGTCTCTAAATAAGCTTCCTCTAACTGCCGGCAAGTCTAATTTCATTGGATTTGACTGTTTTCAGCCCCAATTAGAGGCAGGGTTAAGTACATTTAAAAAAATAATCAAATATTATTTTGTTTCTCCTCCCAGGGCTTTTGGACGTTTGACATGGAGTGTTATAAAAAGTACAGAAAAGTCTGGGGGTGAGTATTCTAGAAACTTCCATTGGATAGACTTGTTTCTATAATGAGTTTACCCCACTGCACAGAGGACAGTCTCAGCCCAGAGCCTCTTGGGATGAAACTCTTGCCAACCTAACTACAAACAGAGAGGCTCTCTGAAAGAAGAGGATATGTATTTGGGAGTAGAGTATTAGAATGGGAATCTGTGTGCCATTATAAGCTATGTGCAAATTCAGGGAGGGAAAGGAAGACAAAGATGTTCCAAGAAAATATGAGGAGGACTTCACATGGGTTTTGAAATAGTTCTCCTTCACTACAAAGATCAGTAACAAGGGTGATGCCACACCAAGTTTGGACAGGCAGTTGCTTGGCAGGTGTCCTTGCAGAAATATTTTTGTGTAAAGTTGGGATGGGCTTTTTGCAAGCTTGTGGTTTTGCAAAGTCTTTTGTGATAGTTTTGTTATCAGGCACACAAGCATGAGAATCCACTCTTTATAGCCTTCTGTGATTTGTCAGGGTTTTTAATCACACACATAGGCACACAGACACACTGACACACACATACACGTGCCACAATTTTGGTTCTCACAACGTTCACACTCACTATTGTAAAACTCTTTGAGGCTTGTCCTACCAAGGATCCCGTATGTCATCAGGTGTTGAGGTCTTTGGTCTAAACTAGGCTGGGAGCATTGTGGTTACCACTTGTCTCCAGGCTTTGGTGGCCCAGGGACTCCCAGCATCATGTTCTGTCCAGTGTCTCCCTATTCCCCCCTTCTTTTTTTCTTCCCTTGGTGCCTTTTATCTCATGCATTGTCTCAGATGCTTCTAATATGTGCTCATAAATGCAGGGCATCGTCTTCTTCCCACATCGATTCACTTTCAGTTAAAAGCCAAAACTCTTTCATTTAAACTTGGGATTTAACATGCTTTTGAAAGAAGGGTTGAGAGATATAGAGAAACAGATTGGGAAACCATTTATGCTCTGCTGTTTCTTTTTTTTAACTTTCTGTGTAAGTGTAGAATTTTTCATTCTGTTTTATTATTAACTTTAAGCCAAGACTTTTTAATAGAAGGATATACAAATATATCTTTGTCTATACCTTTCTGCTGAATTTGAAGAAATGGTGAATATTCTTAAACCACTGTGTTCCCTGGTGGGCTGATGGACTGTGATTGTATAAGGTGGCCTCAGCCAACTGCAGCAGCTGTTCCCTGTCAGAGGGGCAAGCAGTTTGGCAAGAGTGGTGGAAGAGGTGTAATCGTGTGTTCGTTCACAAGATGCAACAGGGAGAAGGTTTTGCCCTCTTTGTACTTCATCTTGTCTCATCAAGTCCTCAGAAACCACAGTGCTGCCTGAAGGGTGCTGTGGAGCTGGCACAGCCCATACACACAACACGACTGAGCAGAAAGAACATACAGCTCTGGATATCCATGGGCCCCAGAGAATCTGCCCTTGAAACATTTAGTCCTTGTGAGCATTTGATGATTTGCTTTCACGATCAAAGTCTGGCTTCCTGGGTTTGGCTCCAGCTGTAGCATAAGGCTGTTGATGTTTAATCAACTCTGTATTCTCCACACAGTTTTTATGACTGTCGACAGCCTGTGCTGGCTATCACAGATCCCAACATGATCAAAACAGTGCTAGTGAAAGAATGTTATTCTGTCTTCACAAACCGGAGGGTAAGCATCCAGTTTTTGAAATTAAAATACTCATTGATTGATTAAATTTTATTTTAAAATTCTTATATATTCATAGACATTTGCCTAAAAAATGTGCAGCAAGATTCCAGGTACACTTCATCCTACCCACTCCCCCAGTGCTGACATCTTGCAATCTTGCATAAATATAAATACAGCATATTCATGTTACGATAGTACAGGAAATTGACATTGATACAGTTCACAGAGCTTATTCAGGTTTCACCAGTTTTATGTGCCCTCATTTCTGTGTGTAGTTTTTTGTTTTTGTTTGTTTTTTCTTTGTTTGCTTTTTGAGACAGAGTCTTGCTCTGTCACCCAGACTGGAGTGTAGTGGCATGGTCTTGGCTCACTGCAACCTCCACCTCCAGGGTTCAAGCAATTCTTCTGCCTCCGCCTCCCAAGTAGCTGGGATTACAGGTGCGTACCACCACGCCCTGCTAATTTTTGTATTTTTAGTAGAGACGAGGTTTCACCATATTGGCCAGGCTGGTATTGAGTGCATGGGTAGTTCTACGTAAATTTATCACATTTGTAGATTTATGTAATGACCAGCATGATCAAGATGCAGACCCATTCCATCTCCATATAGCTCCCTGCTGCTATCGTACAGTCACAAGTCTTTTTCTCTGAGAGGGTCTTTATCAGTGAAAATGTCTTTCTATTTTGAGGATGCCAAAGTATTAATTTTTTTTATGGATTGTGCTTTTGGTGTCAAGTCTGAAAGTTCTTTGCCTAGCCCTCCTTCCTATATTGCCAATTTTTCTAAAAGTCATAAAATTTAATGCTTTACTAAATGTAACTCTATTACTTTGTGTTTTTTTTGCATAAGGTATGAGATTTAGATCAAGGTTCATTTTTTGTGGCTTATGGCCATCCAGTTGTTCCAAAGCCATTTTTGGAAAATTGGGCATATTGTTAAAAATCAATTGGGCATGTTTCTTTGCATTTGTCATTTGCTATTCTGTCCCACTGATCACTGTGTTTATTCTTCCACCAATAACAAACTGGTAACTCTACTAGCTGTACAGTAACTCTTAACATCATGTAGAGTGAATCTTCCCACTTTTATTGACTTATTTTTTCAGATTTATTTTAGCTCCTCCTGGTCCTCTGCTTTTCCATAAAAATTAAGAATGAGTTTCTCAGTGTCTACAAATAAACATGCTGTTATTTTGACAAGAATTGAATTAAGTGTATACATCAATTTAGGGAAAGTCTTTATTTATACTATGTTTGGTCTTTCAATTCATGAACATAGCATGCATCTCCAAGTCCTTAGATTTTCCGATTGTTTTTAACAATTTGTAGTTTTCAGCATAGAGATCCTGTACATGTTTTGTTAGATTTATAGCTAAAGTATTTCATTTTTGTTGGAGTGACTGTAAATACTATGTTTTTCTTGTGTTTTCAGATATTGATTGTTGGTACATAGAAACAAGCTTGATTGTTGTTTGTTGATGTTGTATCCTAGAACCTTGCAGAACTGACTTAGTATTTCTAGAAGTCTTTTTGTATATTCCTTGAGATTTTAGACACTGACAGTTATGTCTCTTGAAAATATACAATTCTTGTATTTCCTTTCCAATCTCTATGCCTTTTAATTCTTTTTCCTTGTCTATTGCACTAGGATTTCCCAGTATAAAGTCAAGTAAAAGTGGTGAATTTAATTGTTCCTAATATTAGGAAGGAAACATTTGGTCTTTCATGATTAAGCATGATATAGATGAAGTGGGGCTTTTTTGTAGATTCCCTCTATCAAATTGAGGAACTTTCTCTCCCTAGTTTGCTGAAGTTTTAACATAAAAGACTGCTGTAAGTACTCATTATAAAACAAAACATGGCTATGGAAGATGAAAGAAAGTTTCAAACATGCTGGCTTTATAGGCCAGTTCCAACTAGGCAAAAATAATTATCTCTTTCTCTTTTTTTCTATCCATGAAATAAAAAACTAAGAGAAAAGAATGTTCATAGAATTGCATTATTTCTTCAAAATACATTCCTAGTTTCAAAACTATTACCTACCATTTTTTTAAAACCACCACATCGAGGCACCTCTTTTTCATGTTGCCCATGGTTTAGGTGAACATAAAGACAGAGCTCGTCTGAGGCAACATACAGTACACCAAAGCCACCTGCCTCTCTGTCACCACTCTCTCTCTACAGTGCACAAGTGCTAGGTGTTGATCCTGACCATTCCACTGGAAGAACAGGTTCCCTACCATGTGGAGAATTTGCATGTAAAAGGAGACTGGGATATACAGGCTGGAGACCACATCAGGTGGCTGGGTCTCCCGAACACTGCCCCCAAACAAAAATACATCCCAGGACACTGGGCATCTGGGATAAATCTCTATTGAGCATCTAGCATAGGGCCTGTCACCTAGTAGACAGTCACTAAATATTTGTTAAATATGTGATGCCTGTTTAACATTTTCTACAACCATGGAGATCTCCACAACTGAAACAGGACAAAATGTTTCTGCTTTGAACGCTAGCCTTTAGGTCCAGTGGGATTTATGAAAAGTGCCATCACTGTAGCTAAGGATGAAGAATGGAAGAGAATACGATCATTGCTCTCTCCAACTTTCACCAGTGGAAAACTCAAAGAGGTATGAAAATAACATTAGTTTTAATTAGAAACTTAAGAATGAATCAGGTGGGGACAGGTAGAAAGTAAGATCACAGTTTCTTTCCAAGGGGTAGTCTGCTGAATTTGAGTTTTCTAAAAATGGTCTTTTATCTTTATGTACAGAAAATACATCACAAAATTCTTTATAAAATGTCACTTACTGCTGCGTGCTGGGGAAAGCCATGTTCTTCTGGGACTAGAGTCTGCACATTTTACTATGGGTAGTGTTGTGTTTTGTGCTTAGATGGTCCCTATCATTGCCCAGTATGGAGACGTGCTGGTGAGAAATCTGAGGCGGGAAGCAGAGACAGGCAAGCCTGTCACCTTGAAGGAGTAAGTAGAAGCGCAGCCATGGGGTTCTGAGCTGTCATGAACCCCTCAAGCTGCCTGCCATGGAGTTGATATTCCCACTGTTGGGTTATTCCAGTCACCAGACAAAAGGAAGGTTGTGGTATTGCAACTTCAATGGGTCTCCCAAGATAGGCCCACTCCCAAGAGGAGGTGGGGTAGCTGGGGGAAAAAGGTCTTCTCCCATATGCACATGGACCAGGATTTACTTATCCATTAAATTGTCAACATGAATGTTCTGGAAGACTAAATGCATACTTTAGGGGGGGAAATGTGTGATTGCACCAAAGTTTTAAGCATGGCGTGTATGGGATGGTGGAAGGGGAAGGCACTTGGTATCTATTGGTTGGCAGTGAGTACGATGGGAAAGTTATAATGGAGAACTTTGAATAATTTTGACCCTTTCATGGTTTTTCTGAGGGTATCAGTAGAATACTATATATTAAACATTCCCAACACTGCTTTTTTCCTCCAGTCTTAAAGAGACAAGGTCCTATAAATGCTATAGGCAGGGTAAGCCTATCATTTGCTGTCTACACTGGTATGTGCTTCAATTATGCAGGAACAACAGGTGTAATCTGCGCCTGTCCTGGGCAGACCAGAGATATGTGGTCACTCAGCTATAGGAATTTCCAAATCAATTTTTAGTGATTTTCTTTAAACCAGGACATTGCTGGTCATTATATTTTACTAAAATGATTGTGCCAAAAGGGCAATCTCAGCTCACAAGAACTGGGGATAGTGAGACTTTCCAAATCTTGAGCAGGGAGTGTAGAGAATAAGGACGATATTTCTGGGAGCTCAGAACAGGGTGTTGCTGTTTTGTGAAGTGCTGAAGAAGAATCAGCTCTGGGCGTAGAGTCTGTAGTCAGGCAATGTCACCTGTCTTGAGCCCCTTAGGAAAAGTGAATTTTTCTCCTCTTGTTCTGCTGAAGCACACTGCTTACACATCTTGTATCATCCACACTCAACACATGCTACTCCAGTTCTCTGATAGTGGGTACCTGTCTTCCTATGATGGGCTCCTTGATCTCAGAGGTAAGTATAACTCAGTTCAGAGTCTCCATCACCCCCAGTGTAGGGCCAGCTGTGTCACTGGCACCCGATAACCACCATCTGATGGAGTGCGATGGGACATGATCCATTAGATAGTTCTGAAAGTCTGTGGCTCTTTGTCTGTCTTGACTGGACATGTGGGTTTCCTGTTGCACATATAGTGGAAGGATGGTAAAGAGGTGCTGATTTTAATTTTCCACATCTTTCTCCACTCAGCGTCTTTGGGGCCTACAGCATGGATGTGATCACTAGCACATCATTTGGAGTGAACGTCGACTCTCTCAACAATCCACAAGACCCCTTTGTGGAAAACACCAAGAAGCTTTTAAGATTCAATTCATTAGATCCTTTCTTTCTCTCAATAAGTATGTGGACTACCATTTCCTTTTCTCTCTCTCTCTCTTAAAAATAACTGCTTTATTGATATGTAAATCACCATGTAATTCATCCACTTAAAATATACAGTTTAATGATGTGTAGTACATTTGAAGATATGTATGACCAGCACCATTGTAAACTTTAAAACATTTTTGTCAGTCTAGAGACCTCGTACATTTTTAGTTATCAACCCCCTGCCACAAACCCTGTCGTCATATGCAACCACTAATCAATACTCTGCTGCTATAGATTTGCCTATTCTGGATGCTTCATAGAAATGATATTCATTTGTTACAGTTTTTTTTTTTTTTAATTCTCTAGTTCATGAATTTGTACTTTAGTCTGTATTATTTTCTTTCTTCTGCTGGCTTCAGGCTTAGTTTGCCCTTCTTCATTTACTGTGTTGTGGCATGAATGTAGATTATTGATTTGTGACTTTTTGTTCTTGTAAATTTAGACATTACAACTATAAATTTTCTTCTGAGCACTTCTTTGCCAAATACCATCAGATTCTGGCCTATCACATCTTAATTTTTGTTCAGTTCTAAACACATTCTATTTGCCCTTTTAATTTCCACTTTGACTCATTGGTTACTTAAAAGTGTATTATTTAACTTTCACATATGTGTGAGTTTCCCAATTTTCTTTACTTTGATTTTAGCTTTATTCCATGATAGGTGACTGAGATACACTGTGTTATTTCTATCTTGACTACCTGCTATTTCTTGAACAGCATGATTAATTTAAACAGCAGGTTATGATTTGGGTTATCCTAAGAGACTCTAGTTCAATAGATAAAGGCAAAGAGACTAGGGCACTAAATTTTGGTTGTTTCATCATTCAAAAGATGCACAAGGGGCTGCTGATCTCACTGCTGTAGTGGTGGTCCCTATGCATAGACCTGCCCTTGCTCAGCCACTGGCCTGTGAGAGGGCAAAACTCATAGAAAGAATGGCTTCCAGTTGAGAGCCTTGATGTATTTTACTCTTCTGATGGGTAGAGAAAATTAGAATTGCTCCAGGTAAATTTTGCACGTTCACAATGGTTTCATTTTGTGGGGTTTTTTTTTTTTCCTACAGAAATCTTTCCATTCCTTACCCCAATTTTTGAAGCATTAAATATCACTGTGTTTCCAAGAAAAGTTACAAGTTTTCTAAGAAAATCTGTAAAGAGGATAAAAGAAGGTCGCCTCAAAGAGACACAAAAGGTAAAACATGGTGGCAGTTATAGGTGGATGTTTAGTTTTTCAAAATTTTTTGTTAATATACATATGATTGGTGCACTTCCCTGTCTGTTTTTAGAGAAATATTTTAACATAAAGAGTACTCATGCTTAGAGCAAGATAATTGATTTGGTAGGAATGCAGAAAGCGGAGTTTGGGGAAGGAGATATGAGAACGAGTCAGAGATAGCACTTAAAATTTGATATCAGGCACCACAATTAGTATGTCATGGCATAAATATTATTCACACAAAACTTTATCACACCACTTCCCTTCAATAAATTGCCAAAGGATAAACATTACTGTTTGGAAATATATTTTACTGGTATTATGCTTTCTCTAGATCAGAGATTGCTAAAGAATCATTTCAAGTACAAGCCTGTTATTTCAAATATTCTCCAATGAAAGGCCCTATCAGGCCACCTCCTGAAGTGTAGTGTGTGTTACATTTGAGCCCTCTCACAGCCTCAAGTGAACAGGCAAGACTCTTCTCCGGGAATTGAGGCTGCAAGGCTGGCTAACTCAGCTTTGCCTTCATCAGCCCTAGAGGCCAGCCAAAGGATGTCTGCAGGTCAGGGAGGCAGGAATGGGTAACCCAGGTGTTGCTGAAGATTGTATAGATTTTGGGAATGTTGGAGTATTTGAAGATGCTCCCACCAAAGCTGCTGATAAGTTCTGGAAATGTCAGGAGAATAATCTTTGTGAACATTGGTGAAGAAGAAGACAGAAGAATAAAACGTCCAGGACTTCTTCATGGGTATGCAGTTAGGACCACGGAAAAGACCAAAAAGCAATTGAACATTTTATCCAGATTTGTTTCAGGAAAACATCCTGCTTTCCAAGGATTTAGATGGATATTTTTTTCACTGGTGACTCAGGCAATACCCATCAGATTTCCGGTCTTCAAGGGGCCATATTCTCAGAAGGGAGGTTGAGGACTGCACTTCCGGTTAACTTCTGACTTCATGAGTCACTTTCTGTCAATAAAATTTCACTTTTTGCTTCTAGCGCCGAGTGGATTTCCTTCAGCTGATGATTGACTCTCAGAATTCGAAAGACACTGAGTCCCACAAAGGTATCCAAAGAGTGCTTCTGGGGGCTCCTGGTGGGGTACTCAGAGGGAGGTCCTTGTTCTAAAAATATACAGGAAGTATTCCAGGAAGATGAGAATTTCTGCCACATAGCAGAATGACACAGGTTTTGGATGTTATAAATGGTAGCTGGAGGTACTTTCTAGAGGCATACAGGCATAGATAGCCATGTTCTAAACTTAAAAGGGCAACCCTAAGGAAACCTGGCATGCCAGAGTCAGCAGTCTGTGAATCACCTACATAAGATCAAATGGCAGTTTCAGCCTCCTCCACATCCACAGAATTAAAATTTCTGCCTGGAAATTTATTAGGTTTCTGCAAAAGTAATTCCGAATTTTTGTGATTACTTTTAATCGCAAAAACCGCAATTACTTTTGCAGCAGCCTAATGCATCTAACATCCAATCAGGAGGCATGCTGTCCTAATAAGAGTGATTTTAACTGGTAATATTTGGTGAAAGTGTGTTCACCAGGTTAATCTACTACAAAGTTATTTTTTTCTTTGGAAAGGATAAGTAACTTGTGGGGAAAACCTCTGAGACCGTGTAAATATCCTCGTTGTCTTCAATCTTTCACCTACTAGTTTTAAAATCCATGTACAATTTTCACTGAAGTCATTATTACCATGACAGTGGCAAAATGATGACCATGTTCAATTTCAAGTCACCAAGGTTTGGCAATCATGTCACAAAATTCCCGAATATTTAATCATTGGTTCCAGAGAGCAGGAGTAGGCTGACTTCAGCATACTGCTTTAAATATGTCCATGTCTACAACTACTTCTGTCTGTCTATCTATCTATCTATCTATCTATCTATCTATCTATCTATCTATCTATCATCTACCCATCTATCATCTATTTATCTACTTATTGATTATCTACGTATCTATCTCTCATCTGTCTACTCATCTATCTATCCCATTACAACTTGCTGTGATAAACGAAATAGCCTATTGTGTTAGTGTTTCATCTAGAAATCACTAGACACATATAGCTATTGAGCACTGCACAGGTGGCTAGTGCCACTGATGAAAAATTTTAAATTGTATTTAAGTTTAATTGACTAAAATTTGATTTTAAATAATCACATTTCGATAGTGGCTACCATATTGGACAGCAGAGCTCTAAACTTTGAGATTATAGTTCAGTTTTGCATCAGTATCATTAGTATCATCATACTAATATGTGTAACTGAATACACATATTAGATAGTTGAATTTGCCCACAACTGCACCACAGAAATCTTCACCGGTAAATCACAGCTTTGTCGACATTTCTCACACTCCTTTCATATGGCTTTTGGTTGTGAATTATGTAGTTGGAGCAGGCGTCATATTTATTTCTGTGTTCCAGGTCTTTAAATGTCCTAATCCAGTCCTGATCAAACAGACCAATGATGGACCACCCTTAGCTTCTCTCAGGAGAAAAATCAAGGGGGGTGCCAACTTGTAATGACAGAAGGTTATGCTATTTTAATGCCATTCATCAGACTACAGTCAATCACCACTCATCTAGCTTTTTGTCCATCTCCAATTGCTGTACATCCTGAGATAGTCAATTCTGAGACCTATAGCCTAGATCTACCAGCTGATGCATCAAAGATATAAGCCATACTTCTCAAGATGGGCTATGCACACAAATTACTGCATCTTGTGAAATTCAGATTTTGAATCAGTAGTTCAATGGTGGAGTTTGAGATTTTGCATTTCTGTTTTTGTTGCTATTGTTTTGCCTTGAGACAGAGTTTTTGCTCTTGTTGCCCAGGCTGGGGTGCAATGGCACAATTTCGGCTCACCACAACCTCAGCCTCCCAGATTCAAGCGATTCTTCTGCCTCAGCCTCCCGAGTAGCTGGGATTACAGGCATGTGCCACCATGCCTGGGTAATTTTGTATTTTAGTAGAGGTGGGGTTTCTCCATGATGCTTAGGCTGGTCTTGAACTCCTGACCTCAGGTGATCCATCCGCTTTGGCCTCCCAAAGTGCTCGGATTATAGGTGTATACCACCGCACCCAGACTTTGCATTTCTAACTAGCTCCCAGATGTTTATGACCCATAGACCACACTTTGAGTAACAAGAGGTGGTCTGTATTCCAATATTGGTCTCTTAAGTTCCCTCAAACATATCTACAGGAAAGGTCCTTTAATTTTCCATACATTTAACCATTAATGTTGCAATTTTTCTCAAAGTTTGTCAAGGTATATTGTAGCTAAAATGAATTACATTTTTCTTGGGAGAGAAGACTACCCCATATTAATTTACAATAAAGTACTTTTAGGATCATTCAAGGAGCACACCCATAACACTGAATATATTATGCAGAAACGCTCTCTCTGGAAATTACCCAGCTGTGCAGGTGGCAGGGATGGCATGAGGAGGAGTGGATGGCCCACATTTTTGATGACCTCGGGGAAAACTGGATTAAAATTATTTGCCTTGTTGTGGCTCTGTAAGACACACATCAGAGTGAAGCCACCCGTAGTGAGACTCTGAATTGCTTTTCTATTTTTTTCCCCTAGGTATTTGAGGGCTTCATTTAGATTTCTCTTCATCTAAACTGTGATGGCCTACATTGACCTGATTTACCTGAAATGTCTTTCCTCTCCTTTCAGCTCTGTCTGATCTGGAGCTCATGGCCCAATCAATTATGTTTATTTTTGCTGGCTATGAAACCACGAGCAGTGTTCTCTCCTTCATTATATATGAGCTGGCCACTCACCCTGATGTCCAGCAGAAACTGCAGAAGGAAATTGATACAGTTTTACCCAATAAGGTGAGTGGATGATGCATGGAGAAGGAGGGAGGAGGTGAAGCCTTAGCAAAAATGCCTCCTCACCACTTCCCAGGAGAATTTTTATAAAAAGTATAATCATGATTGTTTCACTCACAATATGTAGGAAGTTTCTGAAAATGAAAAAAAAGAAACATAGGGAATTGTTGCTATTGGCAGAAGTATAAGATCTTTGTAAAACAGTCCTCTCCCTGGTTCATCTGCTTTCTATTACCACAATAATGCTAAGTAAAAAACATCCAAAAAAACTCAGTGGCATTTAACGATAAGCATATTGCTCACACATCTTGATAGTAAGCTCTGCTGATATTGGCAGGACTTGCTCTGGTCTGGCTGGGGTCTGAGGGAGCCTGGCCCTGGGTGCGCTGTGCAGGCTGACTCAGCTCTGCCGCACAGCTGTCTCAGTCAGGTAGCCACTGGTGAAGAAGCAAAGCTAGAACCAGCGTACCTGACCCTTGAGCTAAACTCTTAAACTCTATAATACTGCCTTCCAAATATAATATCAAGTATTAGGTGCATATCAACCATACTGTTTTCAGACCTCTGCCAAAACTGGGATTCTTTGCGTATGAAGAGACAAGGCTTTTGGGCTGGCCCTCATATGGCAGTGAGGTGAACACAAAGGGATGTTCTTTAGAGATTACAGTCCAGCCCTGAAGCAACAACTAGGAGACTGTTTCAGCAAGTGAGGACAGGGCTGTGTGGGGTTCTATCCTCTTCATAACTTTGCCTAGCACTTTAATCATGTGCACTGGTAACATCCAATCAGAACCTTCTTTTGTCATATTTGGGATAGAAAGGGACTAGTTTGTCCTCAAATTATTCATAGAGATTTTATATAATATAGTGTTTCCACATTTTATGTGTATAACAAAAGCCCTGCTTGTGTGTGTGTGTGTGTACACACACACACATATATATATAATACAAATCCTGCTTTGTAACTGTTTTTGTTTGCATATATAACAAAAAGAGTTATGAAGCAGGACTTTGACCAACAATCCTTGTGTGGTGCAGAGAACTTGCTTTTTCTATCTGTTTTCACTTTCTTGGTTACAGACATGTGACCTCTTTTTGAAAGGGACAATCACTTTGTCATATTGTATTTCATGCTAGTGGTCATAGCCTATTAGTCACACTTGCTTCCATGAGAAAGAAAAAACACTACATGGTTATGCTAAGGATTTCAGTCTCTGGGGTGAGAGCTGTCCCAAAAGTCTCCCGCTTTCATAACTCCTCCACACAACTCAGTGGGCCATTGAACACATCAATGAGCATGACAGTTATTAAAACACTTTATGAATGCTACAATCCTTTACCAGTATGACTTATTCTCTGGAGCTTCTAACACTTCAACAGTACTGCATGGACTGAGTTAAAAAGTTAATTCAAAATCTCAATTTATCCAAATCTGCTTCTTTCTTTCCAGGCACCACCCACCTATGACACTGTGCTACAGATGGAGTATCTCGACATGGTGGTGAATGAAACGCTCAGATTATTCCCAGTTGCTATGAGACTTGAGAGGGTCTGCAAAAAAGATGTTGAAATCAATGGGATGTTCATTCCCAAAGGGGTGGTGGTGATGATTCCAAGCTATGTTCTTCATCATGACCCAAAGTACTGGACAGAGCCTGAGAAGTTCCTCCCTGAAAGGTACAAGGCCCTGGGAAAGGAGCCCTCCCTGAACCAGCCTGGTTCAAGCATATTCTGCCTCTCTTAATCTACAGGACAGTCATGGGCTTGTACAATCATTTGCTTATCTTTTTACTTTTAAAAGTTTTTTTTTAATCATGAAATTGATCATTGTCACACTTTACAAACCATAGACTAGATAAAAGAAAACTATAGCCACCCACAGTCCCAGCAATTTAAGATGAAGGTCAAAAATTATGTCCTTAGGGGTCATAAGAGTCCAAAATATAAGGACTCTTTTAAAAACATATTATCACAATGCTACTATTATGTCCTACAAATGAATATTTTTTCCTTAATATAATCAAATCTTCTGGAATCAAATTTGAGTAAAAACCATGGGTCCAATCTTCAAAGAATTCATAGCTTAGTGGAAGAGATAGACAAAGAAGGCATTGATGATACTGCTTTGCACTGGTACAGTAGCATATGCCCATGTAAATTATCTGACTTAAACTATTCTGTGGAGGAGCTGGGGAGAAAGAGGCAGAGATGGAGATTAGAGGAAGGAGGAGGAGGAGGAAAGGAGGGATAAGACAAGGTAGGGAGGAGAAGGAGGAGAATTAGAAAAACAAGAGAGGAGAGGAGAAAAGGAAAGTGCAAAATAACAATTTTGAAGTAGTGCAAGACAACTTCTTCTTCTCCTTCCTCATGACCAACATAAGTGTGACTTGAGGCAGGAATCTACTTTTCCATCAGTCAGTCTCATCACTTACTTGCGTTTTATAGTGTGAAAACATCACCACCCTGAATATAATCTGAGCATTTAGAAATAAATACCCTTTGCAACACTATTTATCTCATCTCAACAAGACAGAAACCTCCTATAGTGTAAGGAGAGTAGAAAGGATCTGTAACTTACAATTCTCATAGCAAAATAGGCGTAGCCGGATTTCAATGACCAGCCCACAAAAGTATACTGTGTACTACTAGTAGAGGAGTGATCCCTAAGTAAGAAACCCTAACATGTAACCCTTAGGGGTATTATGTCATTAACTTTTAAAATATCTACCAATATGGAACCAGGTTCAGTAAGAAGAACAAGGACAACATAGATCCTTACATATACACGCCCTTTGGAAATGGACCGAGAAACTGCATTGGCATGAGGTTTGCTCTCATGAACATGAAACTTGCTCTAATCAGAGTCCTTCAGAACTTCTCCTTCAAACCCTGTAAAGAAACACAGGTCAGTCAATTTTCTGTATTAATAATGTTTTATTAAGAATTATTTTAACTGAAGGGTCTATATATTTAAAAAAGAATACACTCATTTAATCTTTTAATAATTTGTTCTCTGGGCCAAGGAATCTCTTTGGACCCATCTATGATCTTTAAGGGCGCTTCAGTTCTGGAGGTCAAAAGCCTCCATTAAAAACATCATGTAAATTCCACGTAGATTAGCATGGCATGATTATCTGCAGTCTCCTTGAACTTGAACAAAGTTTAAATTCAGTTTCAAGTCTATTGGAAAGATGGGGAAGTATTTCATGCAATAATGAGGTGCAATTATTATCTTGTTTTGACTTTTGAATGGTGCTATTCCTTCCCAGAACTTGAGGAAGCTTTCTCATGACAGTGGCTCCCAACCACTAGCTGTACACTGGAATCACCAGTGAGCTTTAAAAATTTATTATGCCTGGGACATCTCAGAAATTCTAAACTAATTTGCCCACAGTGTGGCTTTAAAAGCTCCCCAATTGCTTCTCATGTGAAGCCAAGGTGGAAAATGACTAATTTAAGGTATTTCTATTGGATATGAAGGACTACCATAGTCCAAGGCCATCCTTACTGACCTCACCTTCCAGGTGCCTAGCTCCATCCAACTGGGTTCCTTTTCAACCCAATTATAACTCTATTAATCTTCTTCCCTTTCTTCTCCTCATTCTGTTCTTATCTTTCAAGTCCTAGTTCAATTCCCAAGCCCCTCCAAGGTGTCTTCTCCACCTAGTCCAGGGCTCATTTACTCTTTTGCTCTGTTATTGGTTACTGGAGGCTATTATCATATAATTTCATAATTTGCCATTAAATCATTGAGTTTTGTTCTCTATATTTTATCTGTATCTAAGAATGTCTTCCCCCTTCCATTAACAATATCCTCTCATGTGGAGAAATAGGAACACTTTTACACTGTTGGTGGGACTGTAAACTAGTTCAACCATTGTGGAAGACAGTGTGGCAATTCTTCAAGGATCTAGAACTAGAAATACCATTTGACCCAGCCATCCCATTACTGGGGATATACCCAAAGGATTATCAATCATGCTTCTATAAAGACACATGCACACGTATATTTATTGCGGCACTATTCACAATAGCAAAGACTTGGAACCAATCCAAATGTCCATCAATGACAGACTGGATTAAGAAAATGTGGCACATATACACCATGGAATACTATACAGCCATAAAAAGGATGAGTTCCCATCCTTTGTAGGGACATGGATGCAGCTGGGAACCATCATTCTCAGAAAACTATCGCAAGAACAGAAAACCAAACACCCCATGTTCTCACTCATAGGTGGTAATTGAACAATAAGAACACTTGGACACAGGAAAGGGAACATCACACACCAGAGCCTAACGTGAGGAGGGGGGTTGGGGGAGGGATAGCAGTAGGAGATATACCTAATGTAAATGACGAGTTAATGGGTGCAGCACACCAACATGGCACATGTATACATATATAACAAACCTGCACATTGTGCACATGTACCCTAGAACTTGAAGTATAATAAAAAATAAATAAAATTTTTTTAGATAACTACAAAAAAAAATAATAAATCCTCTCATTTTATTCCTTTTAAAATATCCCAGTGGTGCCTTGCAAGTGACCTTATCTAATTCAAGCATTTGGTCATTTGGTAAATGTTTAAGGAGTGATGTGCAGTCGACTGGCTTGAATACAAATATTAAGTTTTTTAATGTGAACATTTAGCAAATGACATTCATGTATTTGCATGTGTGTGTATGTGACATGTCCACGTGCATGTCTGTCTGTCTGCAGGCAAAATGTATTCTTGCCTTTTGAAAATTTTTAAATAATAAGGTATTATATTTGTAGAAAGATTTGGAATCTTTTCTCTGAAGAAGTTAAAAAATAGATGTCATTTATTCATATTAAGTAAGACCCTATAAATCTTATTTCTAGGTCTCATGTATTTATTAAGCAACTCCACCCCTTAAGCAGGATTTCTATATAGGAGAGGAGGAAGATAGAGATGGTTTCCATATTATTTCCATATTCCACATTATTTGTGGCTTTAGGCCAGCTATGTAGCTATCCTGCATGTGTGCTCAGACAGGGGACTCAGCCCTGAGAGAAAGTGGTCCTCTGGCACACCTGGGATGGGGAAGGCACTCACTTGTAAGTCCCAAGCTGGTACTTCTTGATTGTCCATCACTCCATGGAGATCAGAATATCACTCTGCTGTGTTCCCTCAACACTGAAGCAGCGTCTCAATAAGAATGGGGCTAAAAGTTGAGTCAAAACACTGTAAGAATTGAGAGGTTCCCCACTTGCACTACCCTTGGAAACCAAGAGAAAATGTTAAAAAATGAAATGATGATGCTTCCTGAAGGTGTCTTCCCATCTTTACACTAGATGGGTTCCATTGGGAGGAATTACTGGACTCTGAAGTTGAAGACTGTCCATATAAATAAAATGTACAACAGTTAGTCAGGATTACCTTGCAAGTTTCAACATACACCAAATTAACTTCATAAGATGCTTTAAAAATAGTTTAGCATTATACCTAATAATCTGGTTTAAATTTTTAAAACTCATCTATTTTCTTAAAATTTAAATCAAAAAAGAACATGGGTTCCCATGAATTTGTCTCAGGTCAAGCCTCGTACAGAATAGGTGCTCCATAAATATTCTGTTAAATGATTGATGATGAATGCTCTCATTATCCAATCTTCACACATCTTATTGAGTAAGTATAAAGAATCCAAGATTTATAGTGCTGAAAGTAGTTTTTATATGTTTACAAAGTATTATTGTCATTAATGCATTTTTTTACTTTGATACTATACTTTCTACTTTTGCTTTATGTAATGCTTCTCAATATGCTTAACTGTTGCAGATCCCCCTGAAATTGAGCTTTGGAGGACTTCTTAAAACAGAAAAACCCATTGTTCTAACGGCTGAGTCAAGGGATGGGACCGTAAGTGGAGCCTGATTTCCCTAAGGACTTCTGCTTTGCTCTTCAAGAAAGCTGTGCCCCAGAACCCCAGAGACCTCAAATTACTTTGTGAATAGAACCCTGAAATGAAGATGGGCTTCATCCAATGTACTGCATAAATAACCAGGGATTCTCTATATGTATTGTGCTCTCTCATGGTCTGTATAGAGTGTTATACTTGGTAATATAAAGGAGATGACCAAATCAATGCTGGGGAAGTAGATTTAGCTTCTCTGCTTCTCATAGGACTATCTCCACCACCCCCAGTTAGCACCATTAACTCCTCCTGAGCTCTGATAACAGAATAAACATTTCTCAATAATTTCATCCACAATCATTAATGAAAATAAGAATTATTTTGATGGCTCTAACAGTGGCATTTATATCACATGTTATATCTGGAGTATTCTATAGTAAGTTTTATATTAAGCTAATCAATAAAAACCTCTTTACAAGAGTATTATCGTATGCTTTCCTGCACATTAAGGAGAAATCTATAGAACTGAATGACTGAGAACCAACAAGTAAATATTTTGATCATTGTAGTCACTGTTGGTGTGAGGCCTGCGTCAGAATTCCAGTTTGATTATTAACACAGGTGAGAGTTAATCCACTATGACTTTGCCCATTGTTTAGAAAGAATATTCATAGTTTAATTATGACATTTTTGACCAGGCACAGTGGCTCATGCCTATAATCCCAGCACTCTGGGAGGCCAAGGCGGGCAGATAACCTGAGGCCAGGAGTTCGACACCAGCCTGACCAACATGGTGAAGCCCCATTTCTACTAAAAATACAAAAATTAGCTACGCGTGGTGGCACATGCCTGTAATCTCAGCTACCCAGGATGCTGAGGCAGGCAATTGCTTGAACCTGGGAAGCAGAGGCTGCAGTGAGCCAAGATCACCCCACTGAACTCCAGCCTGGGTGATAGAGTGAGACTGCATCTCAAAAAAAAAAAAAAAAAATTACACCTTTTTGTAGCACATATATTTTGTAACATATAACTGAAGCCATTATTATATTATTAGTTTTGATTTAATATTTTCAGCCCATCTCCCCTGATATTTCTGGGAGACAGGAAACATGTTTTCCTACATCTCTTGCATTCCATCCTCAACTCCCAACTGTCTTAATGCAAACAACACCTAATAAAAAACAGTTGATTGGTCAATTGATTGGGCAACAAGGCTAAAAATACTCATTCCTGTTCTTTTCCTATTTCTTCCTTTATTTTCCCTTTCTGAATAATTTAGTCCTAGAGGCATTAGGTGGGTGGCAGCTAGATGGTGGCCACACATTAAGGTAGAGAAGAGAGTCATGGTGGTTCCAAGTCAGAGACCAGGTAGGATGAGGACAAAGTGGGTGTCCATGTGGAAACAACCTGCCTGGGTGTGGGAGTCCAGGAAAGCAGAGAAGGGGTCCATACAGAGGGGTGGCCTACAAGAGCAGCCAGAGCCTAAATATGGCATGGAGAATCCACGTGAGGTGAGGAGGGCATCCATGAGTGGGAACCAATGGGTAAGGTTTGGCTACATAAAGGGAATTGATCAAATAAGTAAATATATTAAGGACGATGGAAGCCAGGCTTCTCACCTTTGCAGAAGGGAGTCATGGATTCAGAAAGGGAGAAAACCAGCATGAATCCCATGAAATTAGATTGGAATGGATGTATTCGTGTATATTCATACCCTTCTAGATAGATAGATGGGTAGATAGGTGATAGATAACAGATAGAGGACAAGATCATTAGATAGACATACATGTATGTATGTGTTTGTGTGTGTGTACAAAAAAACCCATATATTTCCTACTTCTCTTCACTGATAGGGCTAGGTAACAATGACATTTCAATACCAATGAGTACACTTAGTGCTCAGATCTTCGCTTATGAATACCATTTTCTGTGGAAAGGAACCAGAGCTCTTTAGAGAAATGCCTGATTCCAGGGCCAGGGTTAAGAATGTTCAAGACAAGCCTAGGACACATTCTGTGCCAGGAAGCAAGAAAATGTTCAAATGATTTCCAAGTAATGTTTAGAAATGATATTTGAAAAAGTCTTCCAAATGATAATTCCAAATGATATTTGCAAAAACCTAAAGACTCCACCAAAGAACTATTAGGACTGATAAATATACTCAGTTAAGTTGCAGGATATAAAATCCACATACAAAAATTAGTAGCATTTCTATATGCAAATAGTGAACAATCTGGCAAAAATAAAAAAGTAATCCCTTTTACAATACCACAAATAAAACTAAATACCTAGGAATTAACTTAAAGAAGAGAGAGATCTCTACAATGAATACTGTAAAACACTGATGAAGGAAATTAAAGAAGACACAAAAACAGAAGGATATTCCATGTTTACATACTGTAAGAATCAACATTGTTAAAACTGTCCCTACTACCCAAAGCAATGTAGAGATTCAACGCAATCCCTCAAAATACCAATGACATTCTTCAAAGAAATAGAAGAAAAAATTCTAACATTTCTGTAGAACCACAAAAGACCCAGAATAGCCAAATCTTCAGCAAAAAGAACAAAACTGGAGAAATCATATTACCTGACTTCAACTTATACTACAGAGGTATAGTAACCAAAACAGCATGATTCTTGTATAAAAACAGACATGTTGACCAATGAAATAGAATAGAGCACCCAGAAACAAATCCACACACCTACAGTGAATTTGTTTTCGACAATGTTGTCAAGAACACACACTGAGGAAAAGAGTCTCTTCTGGTGCTGGGAAAGCTGACTATCAATATACAGAAGAATGAAACTAGACCCCTATATCTCACCAGACACAAAAATCAAATCAAAGTGGATGAAAGACTGAAATTTGGCCAAGAGCGGTGGCTCATGCCTGTAATCCCAGCACTTTGAGAGGCTGAGGCAGGTGGATCACTTGAGGTCAGGATTTCAAGACCAGCCTGGCAAACAAGATGAAATCCCATCTCTACCAAAAAATATAAAAGTTAGCTGGGCATGGTAGTGCATGCCTGTAGTCCCAGCTACTCAGTAGGCTGAGGTGGGAGAGTCACTTGGACCCAGGAGGTGGAGGTTGCAGTGAGCTGAGATCATGCCAACGCACCCCAGCCTAGGCAACAGAGTGAGACTCTGTCTCAATAAAAGGAAAAAAAAAAAAAAAAGAACTGAAATCCAAGACCTCCAATGATGAAACTGCTACAGGAAACATTGTGGAAATTCTTCAGGACACTGGTCTGTACAAAAAATGCTGAAGTAATACCCCACAAGCACAGGAAACCAAGGCAAAGCTGGACAAATGGAATCACATCAAGTTAAAAAGCTTCTGTGCTGCAAAGAAAACAATCAACAAAGTGACGACTCAAACCACAGAATGGGAGAAAATATTTTCAAACTAACACTCCAACAACAGATGAACAACAAGAATATACACAGAACACAAACAACTCTTCAGAAAAAAATTAATAATCCTAATAATCAAAAAATGGGCAAAAGATTTAAATAGACATTTCTCAAAAGAAGACACACAAATGCCACATAGGCATATGAAAAGGTGCTCAGCATCACTGATCATTAGAGAAATGCAAATCAAAACTACAATATCATCTCACTCCAGCTAAAATGGTTTTTATCCAAAAGACAGGCAATAACAAATGCCAGCGAGAATGTGGAGAAAAGGAAATTCTTGTACACTGTTGGTGTAAATTAGTACAACCACTATAGAGAACAGTTTGGAGGTTCCTCAAAACATTAAAATAGAGATATCATAAGATCCAGAAATCCTTGTGCTGGGTATATAGCTGGAAGAAAGGAAATCCATATATTGAAGAAATATCTTCATTCCCATGTTCACAATAGCCACTATTCATAACTGCCAAGATTTGGAAGAAACCTACATGTGCATCAACAGATGAATGGCTAAAGAAAGTACTCTACTCATACACAGTGGAGTACAATTCAGCCATGAAAAAAGCATGAGATCCTGTTACTTGTAATAACGTGGATGGAACTGGAGGTCATTATGTTAAGTGAAATAAGCCAGGCACGGAAATATAGGCATTGCGTGTTCTCACTTATTTGTGGGATATACAAATCAAAACAATTGAGCTAATGTCTGGGTCTTAGTCAATTTTGTACCCTAAGTACTGGGAGCACAGTCTTTAAAATACATGATGAATGCTTTCATACAGGAATGAATAGAGGAGAGGCAAAGGGTGGTTGGGGGTTCTTCTGATGCACAGTATCTTCCTTGACACATTCAGTACAACTCTCAACAGGTAAGTCTCTTCATGTTAGGTTACCTTATGAGAAATTAAGTGGCAGAACATGTCTTCTATTATTTTCCTTTCCAGACAAGACCAATTGCTGGCTGCATTTGAGTCCCAAGCAACAATTAGGCCATCGCTATCACCACAGAGTCAGAGGGGATGACACACAGGGGCCAGCAATCTCACCCAAGTCAACTCCACCACACTTTCTGGTCACCCACTGTGTGTATAGAGCCCTGCTAGTGACCAGGGTGATGACAGTAAATAATACCAGACTGTGCCCTTGAGGACCTTACCTCTGCTGAGGCAAACATGCACAGAAACCCACAATGGTGGTAGAGAGGAAATAGGACAATAGGACTGTGTGAGGGGGATAGGAGGCATCCAGAGGAGGAAATGGTTACATCTGTGTGAGGAGGTTCGTAAGGAAAGACTTTAACAGAAGGGGTCTGTCTATCTGGGCTTGGAAGAATGTATAGGAGTCATCTAGCGGGCGCAGGTACACTCCAGGCAGAGGGAATTGCATGGGTAAAGATCTGGAGGTGTGGCTTGTGGGGATGGATTTCAAGTATTCTGGAATGAGGACAGCCATGGAAACAAGGGCAGGTGAGAGGAGATTTAATAGATTTCATGCCAATGGCTCCACTTCAGCTTCTGGTAAGAAATCAGAATTCTTGGACTCCTCGATAACACTGATTAAATTGTTTATGATTCCTCATAGAACATGAACTCAAAAGAGGTCAGCAAAGGGGTGTGTGCAATTCTTTGCTACTGGCTACAGCTGCAGCCCCGCCTCCTTCTCCGGCACAGAAACATTTCAGCAACTTGGCTGCAGACTGCTGTGCAGGGCAGGGAAGCTCCAGGCAGACAGCCCAGCAAACAGCAGCACGCAGCTAAAAGGAAGACTCAGAGGAGACAGTTGAAGAAGGAAAGTGGCGATGGACCTCATCCCAAATTTGGCCATGGAAACCTGGCTTCTCCTGGCTGTCAGCCTGGTGCTCCTCTATCTGTGAGTAACTGTCCAGGCGCCTCTCCTCTGTTTCCTTGGACTTGGGGTGCTAATCGGGCCCCCTTTCCCTTATCTGCTTAGAAGATCAAAAGAGATGTTCAAGGAGAAGTAGTACAATTGTTGGACGCTACAAACACAGAGAGGTTATTATTGTTCTTATGCAGATCGTTGAAGGAATAAATAAGCATTTCTCCCATCCACCTTCTATTTTTGGTGACTAGGATGGTTTAGTGACAGCATTTTGTAGTGGGAGTGATCTGATTAGGTTAGACTTGACCTATACTAATCTACGGAAACACAGCCGAGGCAGATTACAAACTACTGAACACAACGGGCAGTGTGATCCTCATCCCCTTCCCGGGCTCTGGGGATTCTGGGGGCAGGAGGGAGTGGCTTGCGTTTTTGTCGCTTTATCTTTGTTTTCCGGGTTCTGTGTCTGCTGGAAGGGATGTGCAGATGTATTGTCCCCTGTGGACCCGGTGGTTCCTGCTCCCCTGCCTTCCACCCCAGGACATCATTTACATGAGGCACCAGGGAACACCAATACTTCAGGGGAAGCTGTCCCTTGGCTCTTCCCTCTTTCCCGTGTCATGCCCCGGAAAATCCCCTCCGTCCTATGACTCAATCCTCCACCCTGTCACACACAGAACTATTTAACTTGCAATGATTAATTTCTAGAGCAAAGGAGACTTAGAGGAAGTTTTTAAAGATTTATTCTTTGCTTTAATCTTTTTCCTCCAGTCTCTGGGAGGCTAGGATTAATATACAGCTTTATTTCTTACCTAATGGGAATCTGCTAGCAGCCTGAAAAGGCAGGAGCCATGAAAGCCAATTTGGATTTTACACATTTTTTCCCCTTTATGTTACAGCACAGGAGGACGAACCCTCTCACTGGTGGGAATCCTGGCATCCTAGAGCAGGTGGAGAAAAGAGTTACCTTCCACTGTGGGTAGTGGAGGCTCAATCTGTCACATTTGACTTCTACAACAAGTTTATTTTTATTAAGAGTAGGGAACCACAATGACATGAAAATAGAAAATATAAATCTCATTTTAATTCTTTCACGGAAAGCTTAGGAATTCAGTGAGTTGTGGCAACATGGTTTCCATTTTCTAACATTTCAAAATGAATTGATATGGTTTAAATTCATTCGTTTTTAAACCGGAATTTTTTAGAGATAGACTATTTCCAGCATGTTCCTTCTGGATGACAAAAGAGGGCTGTTAGCTCAGCATTTGTGACAATAAATGTGTGTAAAATAACATCACCTTTCCAGAATAATATCAGGAATATTAGTCTAATGCACAAATGTATACTTCTAAGACAGGACTGCATATGTCTTTGTAAATATACCTGCCTGACAAGTTTATTTTAATACCTCCTTTTTGAATATACCTGCTTAGCAGGTTATCTTAAACTCTCAGGGCAGGGGAGTAGGTAAGACTGTGAGCCAGTGACGATAGCAAAGGCATCCAGGTAGGATCAGTATGAAGTGAGAAAATATTCCTCAGCTCTCAGGATAGAACTGCAAAGAGATACTCATGGGTCCTGGCCCCAAAGTGGACGTCACTCAAAGGGCAAACAGGTTGGCATCTCATCTGCTTCAAGCCTGGACACAGGGGCACCATCTGTGTCACTCTGTGTGTGGTCTGCCATGTTGTGGGGTGGTCATTACAGATTCAGGCAGCTGGGCAGACAACACCTTAGCCTTAGATAATGCTGGTGCAGCCCAGGAGTCAGAAGCTATAGTGTAGACCATGCCCTCCTTAGGCCAACACAATTAAGTGCAATAGATGACTGGCTTTTCTGTTAGCCTCTTCATTGAAAACGAAAGCAGCATTACTCTACCAGAGGGGAGCTGGAAAGAAACTAAACAGCTTACCCAGCACAGCCTCTGCCTTGACATGGAACCATGTGAGTCTAGACACTCACCTAGATCTTTCCTTGGGGGGCCAATGCTGCTGACACATTAACTCAATAGTTTATCCTGGCCTGAGAGGTCAAGTAACATGTAGAAAGTTTAGAAGCAGAGATTAGTGTCACTGATTTGCCATGGCTGTGACAACAAAGGAAGGGAGTGAGAAAACCCAAGGCCACCCTGGTTTCAGTAGACGATGCACACACTTCCACTAACTGTTCTGGGGGCAAGGATCCAAATGCACTATTGGGCCTGGCTATGCGGCCTCTGCTGGGTCCTCCAAACACGAGCCTCCAGGCCATTTCTCAGTTGTATTTTACCATATATTATCAGAGTCACTGGATTTGTACAGAATGTTTGGAACCTATACTGCCTTAAGGGCTATCCTTTAAAGAAGAGAAAACAAGGTCTTAATTCAACTGTCTGGAACATTTTATGGTTATGTGGAATACTGCATCTTTCCTATCAACAGGAAGGCACATGGACTTTAGAAGGTGCCTGTCTTTCTGCTGAAAGCACATATGAGGCATATAGATCCATTTATGCACACCATACTTTTCAGCCACATTTTCCTAATTTGCCTCTCTGGGGCCAATCTTTTGGGACTAGCAGATTCAAGGTTGAATTGATGGATGGCGACCTCTTCCATCAGCCTTTCTTCTTCCTCCAGTCTTCCATTCCTCAGTAATATCAGACTGGGAAGGTCTTCACACATCCAGAAACTCCAGTTGGGGGAGTCCATACATGACCCATCAAAGATGAGTTGCATGCAGGCCTGCCATAGGGAAAACCAGCCTTAATGAGTTTTCCTACAGAGATACTTGATGTGCAGAGGCAATAAATTGACTGCTTTGTGATTGATCACCTTGAAAAAAATGAGCATGCCTGGATATATTAGTCCTTTCTTGCACTGCTATAAAGAGATACCTGAGGCTGGGTAATTTATAAAGAAAAGAGATTTAATTGTCTCATGGTTCTGCAGGTTCTACAGGAAGCATAGCAACTTCTGCTCTGGGGAGGCCTCAGGAAATTTACAATCATGGTAGAAGGTGAAGAAGAAGTAGGCAGATCTTACATGGCTTGAGCAGAAGCAGGAGAGAGTGGGGAGAAGGCACCACACACTTTTAAACCACCAGATCTCACAAAAACTCGTTGTCACGAGGAAAACACCCAGGGGGGTTGGTATGAAACCATGAGAAACTGCCCCAAAGATACAATCACCTTCTATCAGGCCCTACATTTCAGCATGAGATTTGGGTAGGGGCAGATTCAGACCATATCACTAGCACTGTGCTTATCAGACGAATATCACCAGTTGGAAGGCTAGATTATACAAGAGGAGGAATGTCCTGGAAATTGGTTCTTTAAGTTGTGATTCTTCTGCACACTGTCATTCAGGGAATTATGAGTCACTCATCCTCCCCAGTAGCTCAAATCAACCAGATTATCTGACCACAGAGACTGAGGTGTAGCTGAAAGGTTCTCGCATTTCTATGAGGCCAATGGAAGCCTGGAGCACAGTTGTCAATCTGTAGAAATAAGGACTCTGTGACTCCTGCAACACCTCTCTGTGAATGACGGTTTAAGAAGGGCCACATCCTAAAATAGGGTCAGAGCTTAGAGGGAAGGGAAAGCATAAATGACTCTTAGCAAATTCTAAAGACAGGGTCACCATAGGCTCTCAGTGACCCCCTGTGACTGAGTGGATGCAGTGATGCAAAATCTCATCAACACAGATGAAGACAAAAAAAAAAAAAAAAAGTCACCCTTTCTACCTAGGATGAGACTCCCCAAATCAGGGAAGAGTCCACTTACTAAACAGACATAAGGGACTGAAGTGCCCTGGAAGAATTACTGCCTGAACCTCTCAGGAGCACTCAAGTTTGAGGACATTTATCAAGTGTTCATTCCAGGATTGGGACCATGAAGACTTCTGCTGCTTTCAGCTAGTCATTGTACCTTTTTGGGGTCTCATGGTGGAGGCGGGAAAGGACCTGATGAACAAACATAATCATTGCCATCGGAGTTACTGTTATCATTTATTGCCTTAATGTTACCTCCTTCTCTTGAGCATTCCAGTTCCTCCGTCAGTGACTCACCAGCCCCTATATCTATAAAGTCACAATTCCCGAGACCTGATTTCTGTTTCACTTTGTAGATATGGAGCCCATTCACATGGACTTTTTAAGAAGCTTGGAATTCCAGGGCCCACACCTCTGCCTTTTTTGGGAACTACTTTGTCCTACCGTCAGGTGAGTGTTTTTGAGCTTGCTCTTTCGCTTCTTATGATTGGAAAGAACAGCTTAGTTCCATCAGTAAAAATGCTTCTCCTCAGGAGAAAGGTCTGAGGTTTTATACTTTCAGAAACAGTGTATAGGCACCACCCAGAGCATGGCAAGGTTTACCCCAGGGCCCTCTGGCTAACTCTCAGGAACCTCAGGTTTGCCTCAGTTGAACAGCCCAAATCTCAGGCATATCGGCAACCTGATGTTCAGAATTTGATGTGCAGACTTTGAGAGCACCATAAAGAAGATTTTCCTTTTGCCCAATGTAGGTTCCCAGGAAGGTACAGTCATATTTAGTTAGTATTAAGAGTAGGAAAAGGACCCCCTGATTGTGGCTTGTTATCTGTGTACATGAGAGTCAAACTTTTCTTTCTATAGCAAGAGCTCCGGAGTAGCCTTTTTTCCCTACCTCTTAGACAGCTTTGAAACTCACTTTATTAGGGAGATCAAGTATTTACCATTGGGTCATTTTCACCTGCTTGAATCCTCTCCAAAAAATGCTAAACTCCCTTAAGGTATTTCCATGGCTCTACCCCAGCTCTGACTCCCCATGACATCTTCTGCAGCTTTGAGAGTCAGAACAAAGGGGTTCTGCTTTACTTCTTTTCTTTCAAAGGCTGTAGCTTATGGGTGAGTCTGAGCAGGAAGTGGATATAACTGAGATGAGATAGTAGTTGTCTATCAGTGTCAGATATTTAAGCACAAAATGAATTTGTGGGGTTTTTTTTTTTACACAAAGGCAGAATCACATGTAAAATTAAGGAAGGAGACCACCCCTCATATTGTCTTATGCCCAATTTCTGCCTCCAAAGAAAGAAGTAAAAACTAAAAGGCAGAAATGAAATCCACAGGCAGACAGTCCGGCGCCGCACCTTGGGTCTGGTAGTTAAAGATCGACCCCTGACCTCATTGGTTATGTTATCTATAGATTACAGACATTGTATAGAAATGCACTGTGAAAATCCCTATCTTGTTTTGTTCCGATCTAATTACACATGCAGCCCCCAGTCACGTATCCCCTGCTTGCTCAATCAATCACGACCCTCTTACACGCACCCCCTTAGAGTTATGAGCCCTTAAAAGGGACAGGAATTGCCCACTCGGGGAGCTTGGCTCTTGAGACATGAGTCTTGCCGATGCCCATGGCCGAATAAACCCCTTCCTTCTTTAACTCGGTGTCTGAGGAGTTTTGTCTGCGGCTCATCCTGCTACAAAATCACTAGAAAGGGGATAATTTGATGAAATTATTAAATATTTAATTTCACTGAATAGAATGTAATATGTGCCACATGGACTGTGAACTTTGGCCGAGCCTTTGTGCCTAACCTGGTCTGATGCTCTGCCCAGGGCCTAGCCCCTGGATGGAAAATTATGAGCTCATGTCCACAGGGCCAGCAGCAGCAGTCAGCTCTCTGGCTTAGATCATCTTTCCTGCATACCTGAGGCTTGTTTCTCTGATTCCAATTCTTCCAAGTGGGGGCTTTGTTATTTAATTACTGGCCAGGAACTTCATATTTTTTCACTTTGCAAAAGCAATAATTTCCCCACCACCTTTTCCAGGTCAGCTCTTTAGTAGATGTACCCTCAAGATACACATTCCTGGGACCTTTGTTTGCATAGCTAAAGTGTCAACCCTGAAATGTAGAAACAGGAAGGTTTGTTTTTAAGTTTCAGTGAAAACGCTTAGCAAGTGTTGTAATTTGCTGTGTCCAATGTGTAGAGGCGACATTTTCTCAGAACTTCCACGTTAAGCTGGGAAACTGGAAAGCGAGTCCACTTTGTCATTCTGTCACTCACTCCTTTTCTCACTCAACAAACATGCCTCAGACTTACCTAAATCCGCTAGACTAAAAGAGGTCCCTGATGTCTGTAACTTTCTAATTCTGCTAGAATTCCAGAGCGAGCTCATGAAATAAATGAAAAGGATGATGGACAAAGAGATAAAAGACTGTGCATTCCCTTCTGACACTCACTTTCCCTCAGCCTCAGTTTCCCCACGTGCCCCTAGAGGTGATCATTTAGGCATTTATGAGATTTTAGAGACAACACATGAAAAAGCAAAAAGACATCAGAAAGACAAGGAGTTAGTTAGTTTATACACAAGGATAAGTCTTTCAGTATCTACAACACTTTGAGAAAATTCAAGAGTGATTTTAAACTTCCCATTTCAAATACCTCCTCTGTTCTCTCTTCTTTCCCTTATGACCTCTCTAAATAAGCTTCCTCTAACTGCCAGCAAGTCTGATTTCATTGGATTCAACTGTTTTCAGCCCCAATTAGAGGCAGGGTTAAGTACATTTGAAATATTGATCAAAGGGAGCACATCCAAGATGGCCGAATAGGAACAGCTCCGGTCTGCAGCTTCCAGCAAGACTGACGCAGAAGGTGGGTGATTTCTGCACTTCCAACTGAGTCTTAGCAACCGGTAGACCAAGAGATACCCTCCCGTGCCTGGCTCGGCAGGTGCCACACCCATAGAGCCTTACTCACTGCTAGTGCAGCAGCAGTCTGAGATAGACCTGCGACGCTACAGCTTGACGGGGGGAGGGGTGCTGGCCATTGCTGAGGCTTGAGTGGCTCACTGTGTAAACAGAGGCCTGGAAGTACGAACTGGGCAGAGTCCACTGCAGCTCAGCAAGGCCTACTGCCTCTGTAGATTCCACCTCTGGGGGCAGGGCATAGTAGAACAAAATGCAGCAGACAGCTTCTACAGACTTAAATGTCCCTGTCTGACAGCTCTGAAGAGAGCAGTGGTTCTCTCAGCATGGTGTTCAAGCTCTGAGAATGGACAGACTGCCTCCTCAAATGTGTCCCTTACCCCCCTGTAGCCGGACTGGGAAACACCTCCCAGTAGAGGCCGACAGACACTTCAAACATGTGGGTGCCCCTCTGGCGCAAAGCTTCCAGAGGAAGGATGAGGCAGAAATAGTTGCTGTTCTGCAGCCTCTGCAGGTAATACCCAGGCAAACAGGGTCTGGAGAGGACCTCCAGCAAATTCCAACAGACCTGCAGCTGAGGAGTCTGACAGTTAGAAGAAAAACTAACATACAGAAATGGCATCAACATCAATAAAAAGGACATCCACACCAAAACCCCATTTGTAGGTCACCAACATCAGAGACCAAAGGTAGATAAAACCACAAAGATGGGAAGAAACCGGAGCAAAAAAGCTGAAAATTCCAAAAAACAGAGCATCTATTCTCTTCCAAAGGATTGCAGCTCCTCACCAGCAAGGGAACAAAACTAGACAGAGAATGAGTTTGATGATTTGACAGAAGTAGGCTTCAGAAGGTCGGTATTGGCAAATTTCTCCGAGCTAAAGAAGCATGTTCTAACCCATCGCAAGGAAGCTAAAAACCTTTTAAAAAGGTTAGATGAGTGGCTAAAATAAACAGTGTCAAGAACACCTTAAATGACTGGATGGAGCTCAAAACCATGGTACGAGAACTTTGTGACACATGCACAAGCTTCAATAGCCCATTCAGTCAAGTATAAGAAAGGATATCAGTGATTGAAGATCAAATTAATGAAATAAAGTGAGAAGACAAGATTAGAGAAAAAAGAGTGAAAAGAAACGAACAAAGCCTCCAAGAAATATGGGACTATGTGAAAAGACCAAATCTACGTTTGATTGGTGTATCAGAAAGTGACAGGGAGAATGGAACCAAGTTGGAAAACACTCTTCAGGATATTATCCAAGAGAATTTCCCCAAACTAGCAAAGCAGGCCAACATTCAAATTCAGGAAATACAGAGAACACCACAAAGATACTCCTCGAAAAGAGCAACCCCAAGACACATAATTGTCAGATTCACCAAGGTTGAAATGAAGGAAAAAATGTTAAGGCAGCCAGAGAGAAAGGTCGGCTTCCCCACAAAGGGAAGTCCATCAGACTAACAGTAGATCTCTCAGAAGAAACCCTATAAGCCAGAAGAGAGTGGGGGCCAATATTCAACATACTTAAAGAAAAGAATTTTCAACCCAAAATCTCATATCCAGCCAAACTACACTTCATACGTGAGGGAGAAATAAAATCCTTTACACAGACAAGCAAATGCTGAGAGATTCTGTCACCACCAGGCCTGCCTTACAGGAGCTCCTGAAGGAAGCACTAAACATGGAAAGAAACAACTGCTATCAGCCACTGCAAAAACTTGCCAAATGGTAAAGGCCATCGATGCTATGAAGAAGCTGCATCAATTAAAGGGCAAAATAACCAGCTAACATCATAACTGCAGGATCAAATTCACACATAACAATATTAACCTTATATGTAAATGGACAAAATGCCCCAATTAAAAGATACAGACTGACAAATTGGATAAAGAGTGAAGACCCATTGGTGTGCTGTATTCAGGAGACCCACATCACGTGCAAAGACGCACATAGGCTCAAAATAAGAGGATGGAAGAAAAACTACCAAGCAAATGGAAAACAGACAAAAGCAGGGGTTACAATCCTAATTTCAGACAAAACAGGCTTTACACAAGCAAAGATAAAAAAAGACAAAGAAGGGCATT